AAGGCTCTATCTCCTCCAAAGGGAGACATTTATCAAAATGCTTTGAGTGTTCTGGCAGAGCACTATTATCTAGCAAAAATCTTGCCCTGTTTAATTGCCAAGGTGTGTTTTTGGTACTAGGTGTGTAGAGCAAGGGGCAGGGTTACAATTATGTGGGAGACTACACACGGCCTGTGGTCAGGTCAGCACCAGGACATAGTAGGGTGACCACAGAACCCATATTTCTTTTTTAATGTAAAGAATTAGTTTATTTAGTTGAAAGGCAGTAACAGGGAGGGAGAACGAAAGGGACAGGGAGAGGGAGGGGGAAAAGGAAGGGGAGGGGGAGGGAGAGAGATCTTCCATTTGCTGGTTTGCTCCCCAAATGGTTGCAATGGTCAGGGCTGAGCCAGACTAAAGCCAGGACATAGGAGCTGGATACAGGGCCCCAAGTGGCCGCAGGGGCCGAAGGACTTGGGCCGTCTTCTGCTGCTTTTTCAGGCATGTAAGCAGGGAACTGGATGTAAAGTGGAGCAGCTGGGACTCGAACCAGTGCCCATATGAGATGCCAGCATCGCAGGCGGCAGATTTACCCGCTACACCACAACACTGGCCTAGAATCCATAGTTCTAAATGTAAGGGGTTGGAGCTGGTGTGGTGCAGCAGATTAGGGCACTGCTTGCAACACACTGGCATCCCATGTTGGAGTGCTGGTGTAAGTCCCTGGCTGCTCTGCTTCTAATCCAGCTCCCTGTTGGTGTGCCTGGGAAGGCAGCAGAAAATGGCTCAAGTACCTGGGGCCCTGCCATGTATGTGGGAGAGCAGGAGGAAGCTCCTGGCTCCTGGCTCTTGGCTTTTTGCCTGGCCCAGACCTGACTGTTGCAGCCATTTGGGAAGTGCATGAACCAGCAGATGGAAGATCTCTCTTGGTTTCTCATCTCTCTGTCCCTCTGGCTTTCGACTAAATAAATTCATTAATTTAATTTATTAATTGAAAAATAAATATAAGGAGTTCATGCTGATCATTAGCTGGGACAGCTGACATAAATCATGATTGTATGGCCGGCGCCGTGGCTCAATAGGCTAATCCTCTGCCTGTGGCGCCAGCACCCTGGGTTCTAGTCCCAGTCAGGGCGCCGGATTCTGTCCTGGTTGCTCCTCTTTCAGTCCAGCTCTCTGCTGTGGCCTGGGAGTGCAGTGGAGGATGGCCCAAGTCCTTGGGCCCTGCACCCGCATGGGAGACCAGGAGAAGCACCTGGCTCCTGGCTTCAGATCAGCATGGTATACCGGCCACAGCGGCCATTGAGGGGGTAAACCAACAAAAAAGGAAGACCTTTCTCTCTGTCTCTCTCTCTCTTTTACTGTCTACTCTGCCCGTCAAAAAAAAAAAAAAAAAAAAAAAAAAAGAAAAGCCCTAAAGGCATTCGGATCTGGCTGAAAAGCCCATGAGAGTATTTCAGGCATGGAAAGCCAAGACACTCTGGCAAAAGATCTCTGCGAGTGAGATCCCAGTGGAAAGAACAGGTCTTCAAAGAAGGAGGTACCTTTCTCTGAAGGGAGGAGAGAACCTCCACTTTGACTATGACCTTGTCTAAACAAGATAAGAATCGGAGAACTCAGAGGGCTTCCATAGCCTTGGAAACTCATGACCGGAGCATAGGGAGACTACTGATGCCATAGACAGGAGTGTCAATTGGTAAAGTCAACAACAGGAGTCACTGTGCACTTACTCCTCATGTAGGATCTCTGTCCTTAATGTGCTGTGTATTGAGATTTAATGCTATAACGAGTACTCAAACAATATATTTCACTTTGTGTTTCTATGGGGGTGCAAACTGTTGAAATCTTTACTTAATGTATACTAAACTGATCCTCTGTAAAAAAAAAAAAAAAAAAAAAAGAAATTATCAACTCCCAACTTGACTCTCACTGGGATTAAACATGACAATAGGTCTGATCTGATTTCATCATCACTTAAAAAAATCATCTATTATTTTTCACTTTATGTTTCTGTGTGGGAGCAAACTGTTGAAATCCTTACTTAATGTATACTAAGCTGATCTTCTGTATATTAAGATAATCGAAAATGAATCTTGATGTGAATGGAAGGGGAGAGGGAGTGGGAAAGGGGAGGGTAGTAGGTGGGAGGGACGGTATGTGGGGGAAGCCATTGTAATCCATAAATCGTACTTTGGAAATTTATATTCATTAAATAAAAGTTAAAAAAAGAAAAGAAAAAAGAAACAGTATAGCCTTCATTAGCCACAAAAGAAATTCAAATTAAAACAACAGAAATATTTCTTTTTCACTTTTCAAACTGGCAAAATCACTGTTTAAGATAACAGAGCTTCCATTTACTAGACTCTTTTATATGCCGGGTTTCTAGGCTTTTTTTTTTTTTGTTAAAGATTTAACAAGTACCGTACTTTAGAATTGTTGTAGATTTTTAGAGAAATTGCAAGAATGTTGTAGAGAGTTCTCTGTGTATCCAGTTTCTTCTTGCACTATGGTACACTTACTAGAAGTAATATGCCAATATTTGTGGGGAGCAACCCGGACTGGACTAAGTTACTGGAATTAAGACTTATTCTATGCATCTGCTCTCCCACAATATGGCGCTGAGAAGGGAGAAACAGCTTCTACGCAGCTGCCTCCAGTTCAACCAATAAACTGTAGGACCTGCTCCTGATTGGAGGAGAGCAGCGTACTCGGCGTGTGGGTAGCAGAGTTGGTATTGGTGGAAGGACTATAAAGGAGGAGAGAGACAACATGCACCAGGAACATCTAAGGGGAACATCTAAGGGGAACACCTGTGCAGCCCCCGAGAGAGCCGGCCGGTGGTGTGCCGCTCCCCCGCGGAAGTGGGGAATGTGGCAGGGGGAACCGCCCTTCCACGGAGGTGGAAGGGACGGTAGCCAACCCGGGAAGAACCAGCAGCAAACCCGGGGAGGGCCGAGCAGACGAAAGAACAGCGCAGGGTCCTGTGTCGTTCCTCCACGAAGAGGGGGAGCGACAAATATTCATACATTATTATGAACTAAAATCCACTATTTATTTTGGCTTCCTTAAGTTTTTACCTAGTGACTCTTTTTCTGTTCCAGGATCCCAACCAGACTGTCCCAGCCAGGCTACATTGAGTCATCATGTCTCCTTAGCTTCTCAGACTTTGATTGTCTTTGATGACCTTGACAATTAGGATCACTACTGGTCAAGTATTTTGTAGACTGTCCTTCAATGTGAGTTTGTCTGATGTTTTTCTTAGGATTAGACAAAGGTGATGAAAGGTTTTTCACTGTTGGAGTGGGAGATTCAGATAAGCTGGACGGGAAGCTAAAACAAACCGTGCAGGTGAGAGTCAAAGCCATAAGAATAAAGTCCTGTTGAGCTTAATAGAGATACAGATACACAAAAAAATAATTGTAGATACACAGGCACATATCAGTTGGCATGTGTGAGGGAGTTGCTTGTGTGCATACACACATACACACACACAGTTTCTTAGTTCTGTCCCCCAAAGAGCATGGGAATATGACCACTATAGTGATGAGCACATCTAGTGACCAGATTTTGGTTTCTAGCACCATTCTCCAGTAAGAGGAACCAGGACATTTGAAGAAACAGTGGATTCTAGGACGAAGGAAAGAAACACACAAGATAAATCTGGAGGGTATTGTAGTGCCAGAAAGTAAGAGGGTGCTCAAAAAACAAACGATGAGGGTATGTCAAGCCAGCCTGAAATGCACTCCCAGTGGCCAAATCTGGAACAATTTGGGTCATAACCCAAATTATGGAAAAAATATCAACTAGTTTATACTGATATAAGTTAATGATTAATACATTAAATGGGGGGAGACCTGAGTTCTATACAAGGGCAGTGAGAAGCACAATGGAAGAACAGGTAGACACTAAAGAGAGCTGAGATACTGAGACACAAGGCATCGGTGTTGTTGGGGCTCTTCTATGGTGATGGGAAATGGACCTCTTTACTCTGTAACAAAACATCATTGTCAGGCATGGGAGACTAGCAGCCATCTGTGGTCGAGCTGTCATTTCCGTGCATGCAAAGCAGGAGACATTATGATGAACCACAGCAAAGTAGCAGTAAAATAGCCCTTGATGTCCCATGGGTGGCCAGCGGATTCATTATGAGGTACACATGAGACATGTGGGGCCACCAAGACCTCCATGATAGTAGCATTCAGGTGAGAGAGGGTCAGAGCTGCTGTCGCATGAGCAAGGACAGAGCCTAGGTAATGCTTTACTTTGCTGGTGATTCCATTTTTATACCTCTCTGACATCTCCCTATCCTACACTCAGTGGGTAAAAAGGATGATTTGGGAAAGACAAAGTTCATTCCATTTATTCCTTGAAAGGCACTCAAGGGAAGTGAAGAAAGAACATACCTTCTTTTTGCTTTTACAGGTTTAAATGCCATCAGCACTTGTATCAATTTGTAGCGTCTGCTGTATTTTTGTCCTCCTTACTAGAGTATGAGTTTGTGGAGGGGACTGAATCTTCATTCTTATATCTTGTCATCAATACAAGACCAGAAACAAAGTGCTGAACAAAGCTTGTCAATGAATGGAAAATGTCTAACATAAAGCTGGTATTGTGTCGGGTGCTTTCTTTAGGTTTAATTTTAACATCCTTTGGAACTCAGTTTTTGTAGAAAAGGGGAAAAGCTGGACAGCTTTTCAAAATTTTTGCTTCAGTACTATAGAGCTAGAGAGGAGTCTGGAGTACTAGACCCTGTGATGGATGGACCAGTGCTCATCTGTGAACTGTTTGTAATTGGTCAGCAATAAGAGAAGTACAGAAAAGCATTTAGAACTTTGGTTACTAATTTGATATTTCATCAACATCAATCATGTGATCATTTTTCTGTTATTGCATATTTATGGTATTATTAAAATAGAATCCTGGTGTTCCGCACTGTGTAGGTGGGTGATCTCAGGCAAATGACTTCATCTGTTTTCCTTATTTTTCTGTAAAATAGGTTATTATGATAAAAATTTTAGTATCAACTTCATTCAACTTTTTTGAGGATAGAATGAGCTGACACAACTAAAACAATTATAATAGAGTCTGCCATATGGTAAGTGCTGTCTAAGTATTGGCCATTATTATTTTTACAGATACAAAACAAACTTAGGGGAGTGCAGAGAGTTGCATACCCTCTCCAGGACAGAGCTAAATTGCCCAGACTTTTTCAGATTCTTCTATTTCCTGTCTCTATCCCAAATTACCCTCTAGCAAAAATAATGGCATTCTCTTAATTCTTTAGTGCTCTCGTCTCCCTCCTGTCTGACTCCTGATTTTCTTTGGGCCCCCTCCACCACTGTTTACTTTTCAGCCATGTTTCAGTCACTGTGGTCTCGTCAGGTCCCTGCTCAACTGCCTGTAGATGGAATCACTGTGCTTCCTTGTTTGAGGCTTTAATTTCCCTGCTGGAGCCACCACATAGATCACCAGGGCCAGCTGATGTCCTGACAGAGCACACACACTTGCTGCCTAACAAAACAATGAGGACATGTCACAGGAACACTGCAGCAGAGATGAGCAGTGACTGCAAATGTTTATTAAAATGATGACTGACTTCCCTGCACAGAAAATGAATCACACAATATGCTGCTGATGCAGGCCATTAAGCCGGTCCTTGTGGGACAAGCAATATAGTCCTGTCATGGAGAGAATGGGGAAGACAGTGGACAGATGTTTTACTTCTATGCAGCCTGTGTCCATACAAAGGCACCTACTTACCTGCGAGGCTGGTGTTAGAGACTCTTACTTGTGTTTGTTGAGAAGCAAAACAAGCAAATAAGCCCCAAACTACTCCCTGGCCAGTTTGCTAGGCCCATTAGAATTTTCTGTTTTTTTGAGAATATAAAGAACACCATTTTCTGCATATAATTCCTCTCCTCCCCTAAGGCTTTAAAAAACCATTTTCAGATATTTTCTAAATTTTATGTCCTATGCCCCCTTGTATGCTATATTATATTTCTTAAAAAAAATGATTTAGCAAGAGCTTCCTCTGTGCTAGGCCTTTTCTGTATGTTAACTCATTTAATCCTCACAATGCCCTGTGAAAGGGATTCTCTATCCTCATTTTCAGTGGGGGCCCAGAATGTTGCAGGGTGCTGGAGTCAATGTACTCCAGGCAGGTCTTGCTGTGGTCACCTGCTCATGACTAGCTGAGGGACAGCAAGGAAGGCACTGCACCATTCATGCTCCTGCCCCTTAGCAGTGCCTCACTCCTCCGCTTCCTTGTTCTCTGACTCCTTCCAAGCTTCCTCTTCTCTCAGGGCAGGGGGCATACTTTCTATTTATGGGGCAATTACACAGTTTTTACTGGAAGTTCTCAATACTTCTTGACCATCTTCTGTTTGAGAACAAACCTGAAGAACACAGATGAGGGAACTTTAACAAGACTCTACAGTCTGACATAAACATCTCTAGGACTTTAGGCTTCCCCTCAAAGTACCATCCTAGGCTTTGTCTGTTAATTTTAGTAACATGTTTCTAAGAGTCAGGGAGGAAAGAAAGAGGCTCGAGCTGGAGCCAGAGTTAGGACTACAGCTGGACATAGACATGGACCTGGAGCTAAACCTAGACCTAAACCTGGATCTAGAGCTAGAGTTCAAGCTAGAGCCTGAGCTAGAACTAGAACCAGATCTAGAGCCAGAGCTAGAGCTGGAGTTAAACCTGGTGCTAAACCTAGGGCTAAATCCTAATAGGGGTGGGGGCAACTCCCCCTCCTCATTAAGTAAAAGCAGATATTTTAGAAACCCCATTACTGAATTATTAATTCTATCATTGATTTACTTTTTTATTATGTTAAAAAATTTGGACAAGAATAGTGAGAAATAACTTAAAATGCTTGTGGAATGGCCCAAGGCTGGATTCTTGTATAATTACTTTTATCACTGGGAAAAATAATATGAAGGAGGAAGAAGCTGTATATAAATTAAAATTGTATAAATAGAAAGTTGTAAATAGAGAAGATAAATAAAGTTCTTATGTGTGGTTGGATTCCAATATTATTCTAGTCATATCAAGAAGGCAACCTCAAAGCAAATGTCAAAAAGAATATGCATTCTGGGAAATGTTCTATTTTACAGGCTACATTGATGTATCCTAAATCAGTGCTGTTTTACATTAAATAAAATTAGTATATACAGAAGTCTAGATGGATGAGATCTCAGTAGTCACTGTATATTTTATAAGCCTCCATAGCCTGATGGGTATTGTATTGATTGGGAAGGGCAGTATCTAACCTAGAGCAAATTAACTCTAATGTAGACACAAATAATAATCAGTACTAATATTCCTATACTGCCCAATGTCCAGAGAGAAGTGCTTTTGTTTTTCTATTGGCCTACCACTTAGTAAACATTGCACAGGATGGCAAGCAAGTCTCCAGTTTCATAGCATTTTAAACATGAGTTGAAAGACATCTTCACATATGCTGTAGTTTGTGTTGAATACAGTGCTGGACATCATGTTTTGAGGAGTGCAGAACAGCTTAGACCAAAAAGAGTATATTGCCAGACACTAGGAGGAAGATAAAATTAGAAAAAAATTGCAAACCTGTAGAAAAGGATAAAAATCTTTCAAAATGAGACAGTTATCTCTGTGGAAATGCTACATCATTTAATTCATTTTGGGACTTTAGGAAACTATAAAGCATTATAGTATTCAAAGCATTTAGTATAGCATTCGGAGTTGAAACATAGACAACCCGTTTTCTGGCATTTGAAAGTGAAATATAGAGAATGTACATTAAATAATAGGACTGCTTCCCAGTTCTTCAGATTTATAGAACAGATCACAAAGCCTTGGGTTTAGTTATTTTTATGAGGAGAGGTGTAAGGACAAGCAGAGAGTGGAAAGTCTGAAATATGTAATGATTATAACAGTGGCTCTTACTGACTCTATTCTATAATGCAGCATAGGCCTGTTACATGAAAAATAAAGGACAGAGGTTTCTGGATGGAATCAGTATGGATTTAATAGATTCTCAAACTTGTGGTCCATTACATTTACAGTCAGGGTAGAGGGAAGATAGGATGTTTACCCTGGTGGATGAATTAGTTCTTACGTGCAGATTAATGGCCATGTACTGCCTAACGTAAATCCAAGAGAAGTGGACTCTTCACAGCCAGAAGGAAATCCACATACACACTTAGAGAAGCTCAAGATTGAAGAAGTTCCAGGCTGTGTCTTGGTTTTGACCCAGAGTTTTGATGAAGACTGCACTAGCAGGGCTGGCAAGAGAGACCCTGAGCAGGAGACCTTCCCCAGAGCATTCCCACTCTGCTGTTTTATTTCCTCTCTCAGCGTCCATAATG